AGGTTGTGGGCGTGGAAAAAGATTTCTGTTGCTGGACGCACAGCCATTACTCTTGTTCGCAACGGATGCTGGGGCGTGTCAAGAGGGCTGAGTCTGGCGTCGCGCCAGTCCTCTTTGCACCAATAATTGAAGCGGGCAAGCGACAATAATTGGTTGGAAACGGACTGGTGGCGCGCCGAAGCCACTCACCTTGACACGCCCCAGTATCTGCAGCGAACAAGACGTCAGGTAGAAGTCTAGTCGTGCTGACCACCATCTTTCGTTGTTAATCAGTTAGGTCCATGCGCGCATTCCGCGCACGTCGCGATATTAACAACGCCGTAGCGTGAATCTCTGCCATCGAGGCTCATCGTACGTTTGAATGGGTTTAGTGCGTTATCACAGGTGGAGTCAGAACTCAAGCGTGACCAGGTCTGTAAGCGAAGCCTGGGCTGTGGTAGGGAAGGCTACAAATCCAGGCTGATGTTATCTCATCGCTTCAAAAATCACATCAGAAACTACAAGAGTAGGGTGTAAACCCATCCAATGTGTGTGTCCACTGACCACATTTCACCTAATGGCTTCACTAGCTCCTTATCGTTGAGAGGGAGTTCCTATGGTGATATCACTATGTTCTAATGAGCCTTATATCCTTACATTCGTCGCCATTGACATCCTCGTGACTGAAGTATGCTCCGTCGAAGTCCACTATTTTTGGCTGTCCATCAACCAGTACAATCTGAAAATTGCTGTGTGCGATTTGCGAAATGTGTTCGATAAAAGTTTGGAAAATTTCAGGTTGAGGAAAAGTTGGGGAATCTTCGTAGTTTCTTTCCTCAGCATCTTCGCGCCATTTTTTACTGATAGCTTTGTGTATATTTATCTAGCAAATCAACTTCAGCTCTGAAAGCTTGCTAAACAGCACGAATAGCGATGATCTGTCAGTATGAGAGAAAAGGTTTTCGGAACAATGAGATCAAAGGCGCACTACGCGAATACCGAAGAGCTCAGTCCTTCCTTCGAGGAAGTTACTTGGATCCGCAACTAATAACGAAGTGTATTTTCTGCGGCTCAAAAGTGCAGGAATCGGGTGAGAGCGTCTCTTATTCTTATGCATGCTGTGCAGGCCGGAATCGTCGTGATGGTGCCGTTGTACTTCACCGCCTGTCGTTTTCTGGTCTATCTATCAACTACACTACAAGGCAGCGCTCTTCAGTGTATCGCCGGCTGCCTTGTAGTAGGCCTTAACAATCTTAGGCTTCTCCTTTGCAGGTAGGAGAGCCTTAAAAAAGCCGGTCTTTTTCAGCGTTCTCCCTAAGTGAACTGCCTTTAAAGGTGCTGGTATGGCGACAAAAGAAAGTTCGTTGAAATTCGGACAAATGAAGAACATCGGGGGCATAGAGGGCAAGAGGGAGCTCAGCTATAATTTCGCACACGCTCTCAGACGAAACCCGAGAAAAGCCTCATGATTCCTCAGAGCTCGTCATTATTCGAATATGGACAGATGGTTCAAGCGGTTCATAGAAGGCTACTTCGACCTCGGAGACATGCCTCGTTTTGACGGGCCATCTGCCTTGGGCGGAAATGAATTTTGAACCGCTTTGGATGCCGCATCCAGTGTTTACGATCTTTAGCTCAGAGGGTAGCCTTGACCAGATAGTCTTGCTGATCCTCGAGAGGAAGTTATCGACTATGCAGTTCTATGAAGGATAGAAGCTTTAGGAGTTTGTCCTTCTGAGGATGCGCCATACTTTCCACTGAGCATTGTAGTGGTGCTTCGGACAGGGCACGTCGTACGATGGGGTAATCACAGCAAGAAAGGTCGTCTTCGTCAGTGTTGGAAAGAATGTTTACGGTTGTTGATGTTCCTCCGTTTTTCCTATTCAGGTGCGCCACCTTCTCCTCCTTCGACGCCAGTTTTTGGGGTAAAAAGTAAAGGAATTCTCGGAAGGAACTCCAGAAAGGTGGTAGTTTTTTGGAAAAACTCAGGAAGATGGTAGGTAGGATTGGGGAGAGGAGTTTCGTGAAATGTTTCCTCAACGGCCGGACATGCTCTGCCGTTGGAAAAATTTTGCTTACAGTAATGGTCAGCCAGAGCACAGCAGTGCTTTTATCCTCCTACACAAGTCTGGTAACAACTAACCAATCTGGGAAGAATGAGGGCTTATTTGCGGGGAGAGAGCTGATGCGTAGTTTGGCCCCGGACCGGGTGCGTTATAAGCAGCACCCCTTGACGCAACATCGCTTCCTTACCGCCCCTCCTTACCTTCTGAATATTCTATTGTTGATTTTTGTTCGTTGTTTTGCTGCGTCAAAAAATGAAGTTTCGGAGAATCCCAGAACTTCCCACTCAACCCATCATGTATTCCCGTAGTTACGCACCTGCTGCCTTCGAAAGTCGTGAAGTCGTAGCGTTGGGTAATTCTCAAAAAATTCCCTCATCACGTCTACATATTTACGTCTCTGTTGAGGAGACAGCTGTACAAGATAGAGTCTATCCAAAGGTGTTCCTCGTTCGGTTACGATATTCAGTTGATCGATATTATGCAGAGGATTTCGAGGAATGCAATAGGACATCATCTGAAATGCAGAAAAAAATTTAGATAAAGTAAAAAGTAAGAAGATGCAGTTGTGAGGTTAGTGACGACTGCCCATGCGCCTTATTGAACAGTGACTGAGGCTAATTCGTTCTGATCGCTGGGTTCGCAGTCATTTGCCATCAAGGATTCCCGTCGCTACTCTACCATTCGCTTGCGTGATACAAAAGCAGTAGTGGCACGCGCACTGCGGTTTAAGACGTTGACGGCACGAGCCATTTTTCTCTAATGACTTGCCGCACGGACGCACAGTTCCTTCGTTGAAACCACTAGTTTTGGAAATAAATAAAGTGGCCTATAATTTGTTAATAAATAAATGGCTATAATTTTCTGCAATTAAAAAAATGGCTACGATCAAAGTTGTATCAAGAGATGCAAAAACGAGTATATCAATCTATGAATTCTTGGACACAATGTAGCTCTATTTGCTCCAATACTTCCAAAAATCGGGCCATTTTAACCAACTACTTCCTCTGGAGACAAATTTGAATGAAAATTTGTTTCCCGGGTAGTTTGACCTCTTGAAGATCAACATAGCATCGTCTCGGCGCGAAATGCTTTGCCCCTTTAAAAAAACTATTTTTTCGAAAAGAAAATGAACAAGAACCACTGAGCATATATAATAAATGTCCAGAAGCACAGAGTGACGGCCACCCACAGACAACAGTGCGCTGATCGCTTCAACTTACCATCCTACTAATATAATCGGCTATGTCCGTGTGTGTGTGTGTGTGTGTGCGTCTGTCTGTGTGTCACGAAATTCATAGCACCTGAAGCAGAGCTCGGCGGGGTTGGGTCATGGTGGGGATGGATAGAGCATGGGACAAAACCCAAAATAATAGCACCCATGACCCATGCTAAGCCCCGCCCACTGTGGGCGGGGCGTGCGTCCAAAGTTAGCGATGTCACTTAAAAAAGTCATAACTCGGTTACAGAGCAGCCCCGAGATGAGGAAACAGTGCAGTAAGGTTAACAAGGCCTGACTGACCAAATGGAGGAGAGACTCCCTAAATGGGCGGGGCGTACTTGAGATGGGCGGGGCTTTCCATGACACTGAAAAATTACCATAATTTGGCTACGAAGCAGCTCGGAGACTGGAAAAAGTGGAAATAGGTTAGCACTGGGTTGGCCCACCAAATGGAGGATAAAGACCCGAAATGGGCGGGGCGTACTCGAGATAGGCGGTGCTTCCCACAAAGGCCGATAACTCGGTCCCCGAAAATGTTTAGAGAGCGCAGAAAAGTCCCAACAAGAACAATATTCTGCAAGACCACCCATGTATTGCGGGCATGCAGTAGGCCCGCCCACAGTGGGCGGGGCGTGCATTTGAATCCGAGATACCACTGTAAAAAACCGTAATTTGGCGGTAAAGCACTACAGATGGCGCAAAAAAAGTGGATTATGGCTCCCAAGTGATCACATGCAGGAATGTGCGAGGCACTCCCGCTGTGGGCGGAGCCTGCCCCAAGGTGGGTGGAGCCAAACTTAAAAATTCGCAAAACGCTTCCAGAGCACTCTAGACACCGGGAAAAAGTAGTTTAAGGTCATCGAGCGGTCATAGGTTGAGAAGCGCGAGGCATTCGTTGTGGGCGGAGCCTGCCCCAAGGTGGGTGGAGCCAAACTTAAAAAGTTCGCAAAACGCTTCCAGAGCACTCTAGACACCGGGGAAAAGTAGTTTGAGGTCATTGAGGAGTCAGGTTGAGAAGCGTGAGGCATTCGTTGTGCGAGCCTGCCCCCAAGGGGGGAAGTTCAAATTCTTAAAAAATCGCAAACCCAAAAACGCCTTCCAGAGCGCTCATAGACACCGCGGCAAAAGTACGTTAAGGCTCAGTCGAGCGCGAGTCGATAGGTGAGAAGCGTGAGCGCATCGCTGTAAAGGGCGAGCCTGCCCCAAGCTCGTGGTGCGAGCCAAATTTAAAAATCGCAAACGCGTTCCAGAGCACTCTAGACACCGGGGAAAAGTAGTTTGAGGTCATTGAGGAGTCAGGTTGAGAAGCGTGAGGCATTCGTTGTGGGCGGAGCCTGCCCTAAGGTGGCGTGGCCAGTCAAATTTCGAAGAATTCGCAAAACGCTTCCAGAGCACTCTAGACACCGGGAAAAAGTAGTTTAAGGTCATCGAGCGGTCATAGGTTGAGAAGCGCGAGGCATTCGTTGTGGGCGGAGCCTGCCCCAAGGTGGGTGGAGCCAAATTTTAAAAATTCGCAAAACGCTTCCAGAGCACTCTAGACACCGGGAAAAAGTAGTTTGAGGTCATCGAGCGGTCATAGGTTGAGAAGCGTGAGGCATTCGTTGTGGGCGGAGCCTGCCCCAAGGTGGGTGGAGCCAAACTTAAAAAGTTCGCAAAACGCTTCCAGAGCACTCTAGACACCGGGAACAAAAATAGTAAGCGTCATCGAGCGGTCATAGCGTTGAGAAGCCGCGAGCATTCGTTCGTGGTGGCGGAGCCTGCCCAAGGTGGCGTGGAAGCCAATTTTAAAATTCGCCAAAAACGGCCTTCCAGAGCACTCTTTAGCACATCCGGCTGAAAAGAAGTTTGGAAGGTCATTGAGGCCGGTCATTGGTAAAGCGCGAGGCATTCGTTGTGGGCGGAGCCTGCCCCAAGGTGGGTGGAGCCAAACTTAAAAATTCGCAAAACGCTTCCAGAGCACTCTAGACACCGGGGGAAAAGTAGTTTGAGGTCATTGAGGAGTCAGGTTGAGAAGCGCGAGGCATTCGTTGTGGGCGGAGCCTGCCCCAATCGTGGGTGGAGCCCAAATTTTAAAAAATCGCAAACGCTTTCAGACAGCTCCGAGGACACCGGGAAAAAGTAGTTTGAGGTCATTGAGGTTCAGCAGGTTGAGAAGCGTGAGGCATTCGTTGTGGGCGGAGCCTGCCCCAAGGTGGGTGGAGCCAAACTTAAAAAGTTCGCAAAACGCTTCCAGAGCACTCTAGACACCGGGGGAAAAGTAGTTTGAGGTCATTGAGGAGTCAGGTTGAGAAGCGTGAGGCATTCGTTGTGGGCGGAGCCTGCCCCAAGGTGGGTGGAGCCAAACTTAAAAAGTTCGCAAAACGCTTCCAGAGCACTCTAGACACCGGGGGAAAAGTAGTTTGAGGTCATTGAGGAGTCAGGTTGAGAAGCGTGAGGCATTCGTTGTGGGCGGAGCCTGCCCCAAGGTGGGTGGAGCCAAATTTTAAAAATTCGCAAAACGCTTCCAGAGCACTCTAGACACCGGGAAAAGTAGTTTGAGGTCATTGAGGAGTCAGGTTGAGAAGCGCGAGGCATTCGTTGTGGGCGGAGCCTGCCCCAAGGTGGGTGGAGCCAAATTTTAAAAAATTCGCAAAACGCTTCCAGAGCCCTCTAGACACCGGGAAAAAGTAGTTTAAGGTCATCGAGCGGTCATAGGTTGAGAAGCGTGAGGCATTCGTTGTGGGCGGAGCCTGCCCCAAGGTGGGTGGAGCCAAATTTTAAAAATTCGCAAAACGGTTCCAGAGCACTCTAGACAACCGGGCCGAAAAAGCTAGTTTAATTCATCGAGCTGGTCATTAGCGTGATAACGCTGAGGCCCCATTCGTTGTGGGCGGAGCCTGCCCCAAGGTGGGTGGAGCCAAATTTAAAAAATTCGCAACATCTTCCCAGAGCACTCCAGACACTGAGAAGTAGTTCAAGATCAGCGAGGGGTCACCGGTTCACGAGTGTCAGGCATACCTGTCGTGTGCGGAGCGTGCGTCAAGGTGAGCGGGACCAGCCTTAAAAACTCCTCAATCGGTTCCAGAGCACTCACTTCAGACCTCTATGTGATACGGCCCGACTTTGCGGGGCGTCGCGCTTGCCTGCATTTGTATGACCAAATGCTCGACTAATACCCGGCTTTTCTCTCATCTGCCCGCTTCATCAACGCTCCGTGCCACCACTCCATTCACTAATAGTGATGAAAGTAGCAGGTATGATGCTATTGGTCAAGGAATGTTGACCACCTGTTCAGGTTAAAGAAAAGCCTGATATTAGGTGGCTAATGAAATGAGTGGAATAAGGCAAGCGCGGCGGAGCCGCGCCTGCTTGACGAAGCCGTGCTGTACCTTAGAAGGAGGCGCGCCGGTGTCAGCCGGCGAAGCCGCCAATTCCGCGATTCTTTTCATCGTTTGGGCTGCGAAAAATCGATGAGTATGGCAGCGCTCCGACGGCGCATTTGATGCGATCCATGCGCATACTAATTTCTAATGCATTGAACCCGCGACCGAGCGTTGCTCTCGCGAAGTCTGACCACGGCTCATATTCTTTTCGTCGTTTCTGCAGACTCCGCATTACTGTAGATTCCCACATATGCGTTTTTCCCAGTGCATTATCTAATGACCTTTGCCTTTTCTGCCAACTCAGCATTTTCGCATTTCTTTTCACTATTTCGGCAGATTCCGCATTTCTTCGTTAATGCCATGCGAAAATGGCAAATTGCGAAGAATCGTTGTGTACGGCAGCGCTCAGGCTTCCCGACGATAACGCTTCGGTCGCGCGTTTGATGAGTATGCTTTTACTGCATTGATCGCGTCGAAGGCGCGACCGGAGCGCTGCTCTCGCGAAGTCTGACCACGGCTCATTTAATCCTTTTCGTCATTTCTGTAGATTCCGCATTACTGCGAACTCCGCATATCTGCGTCTACCAGTCGATACGTACCGCATTTTCGTATTTTCATCATTTTCGCAGACCCCGCATTTCTTCTTTTCCACATTTTTTCTACGAGGAAAGGTACGCGCGGCGAAGCCGCGCCCGCCCCCGGCCCGCAGCCGGGCCGTATCAGAAGGAGCCGCGCCGGCGTCAGCCGGCGAGGCGACTGCGTACGGGTACGTATCTGTCCGTATCTGTCTGTCTGTCGCTACACCAGTCGCAACCAACTTTACCGACGTAACGGATGTTTTCGACGTCAATCGATACGTATTTGATCCTCGTAGTTGGCAAAGAAGTCGCAAGGTATGGACGCAGGCACTGCTCACCCAATTAACCTACTTTT